CATTTTGCCACAGTTCTTGCCTTTTGATTGGGCGTAGGAATGGCAACAGCGAATTTGTTGAAATGGTCGGTTAGAACCAAGATGTCACGAGTGTTACTGGAATCAGGTTCAAGGCTCAGGAAATCCATGCACAGGAGCTCAAGCGGTCGTGAGGTTTTTATGCTAACAAGCGGTGCAGCTCTCTCGGGCAAGGCTTTCCGGCGCACACAGCGGCCACAAGTCTTGATCTTCTGCTCCACATCCATTGCCATCTTGGGCCAATAGAATCTTGTACGGACAAGATCAAGTGTACGTTCGATCCCCATGTGGCCCATATCGTCATGGAGGCTTTTTAAGACCATGGGACGCAGTTCTTCTGGGAGAACAAGCTGGTATGACAGATCCTCATTGTCCCGTCTCCTCCTGTACAAGACTCCATCCACCAGTTCCAACCTGGACCATTCTCTGAGCAGGAGAGGAAATTCAGGGAGCTCAGCTCTTGCAGTCGGCAGGATCTTCTCCCCCGTCTCTAGCTGGTGGATAAGCTCTCGAATACAGGGATCTGTGTGTTGTTTTTCTTGGATGTTCAGAGCAGGAATGACTGGCAGCTGGTGGAGGCTTTCGGAGCAGTAGCTGTCAGGAATAGTGTCAGCTTTGGTCAACAAGGACTCAATGAATGTGAAACCAATCTGACCTCCATCATCTGGCCGTGTAGCTTTGACCAAATGATTTTGGCAGATAGCTTCCACAATGTCCTCTCGAATGGCATCAGAGTCTGCAGCGTGTTGGGAAATGAACTGATGGATAAGTTCATGGTCTTTGGGAGCTTCTTCAGTGGAGCATGGGTGAGGGCGTCGCGAGAGAGCGTCAGCATCACGGTTTTGTTTACCAGCCCGATACAGCAGCTTGAATGAGTATGTGGATAGAGCAGCCAACCAGCTATGTCCTGTAGCATCCAGTTTAGCTGTTGTGAGGATGTACGTCAGCGGGTTGCTGTCAGTAACCACCGTGAAGTCAGCGCCATACAAATAATCCTGGAATTTTTCCGTGACACTCCACTTGAGGGCAAGGAATTCCAGCTTATGGGCTGGGTAACGGCTCTCACTCTGCGATAGCCTGCGGCTTGCATAGGCTATGACTCTCAATTTTCCTTCTTGCTCCTGATATAACGCTGCTCCGAGTCCCATCACGCTAGCATCAGTGTGGAGGATGTATGGGCGAGATGGATCTGCAAACCCAAGGACTGGAGCAGTGGTAAGTTTTGGGGTCGGATTGTAGGTAGGTTTCTTGTGAGTTTTCCTGTTCTTTGACTTGCGAGCAGGTGCGTATCCGCGAGTCAGATCGTTCAGTGGTTTGGCTATGATGGAGTAGTCCTTTATGAAACGGCGGTAATACCCTGCGAAGCCCAGAAAAGATCTCAGCTGTTTAAGTGTTTGTGGAATCGGCCAGGTTTTGATGGTTTCTATCTTTTCTGGGTCTGTTTGAACTCCTTTTTCTGAGACAGTGTGGCCCAAGTAGCGGACAGATGTTTGGAAGAATCGGAATTTCTCTGATGACAGTTTCAGCCCGTACTCTCTCAACCGGTTCAGGACTCTCAGCACCCTTTGTTCGTGTTCCTCCAAGGTATCAGAAAAAATGATCAAATCATCAAGGAACACCAGCACCTCCTTCAGATGGAGGTCCCCCATACAGCGTTCCATCAAGCGCTGAAATGTGCTAGGTGCATTGGTAACACCTTGGGGCATCTGGTTAAACTCCCAGAAGCCGAGTGGAGTGACAAAGGCTGTCTTGGGTTTATCTTCTTCACCCATCTGGATCTGGTAATAACCGGACTTCAGATCAAGTACTGAAAACCATTTGGAACCAGCGAGGGCTGAGAACGATTCTTCCAGGTTGGGTAAGGGGTATGCATCCTTAATTGTCTGGAGGTTTAGTTTGCGGTAGTCGATGCACAATCGGACTTCACCATTTTTCTTCCTCACCACAACAACAGGAGACGCAAAGGGTGATGATGATTCCCTTATAACTCCGGCTTCCAGAAGCTCACGCAGGTGACGGCGAACAGCTTCATAGTCCTGCGGATGGATTGGCCGGGCGCGTAGTTTGAACGGTGTATTGTCGTGGAGTGGGATGTAATGTTTCACAGCCGTTGTGCAACCAAAATCCAAGTCATGGTGGGAAAAGACCTCCGAGATGTTATTCAACCTTTCTGTGATTCTCTTCTTCCATTCAGGTGACAGTGGAGACTCACCAAAGTTGATGTTCAGGCTGGATGGTGGTTTCTCAGCTGGAAGATGGGTCACTTGGTGTTCAGACAGGATGCAATGGTATGTCTCGAGATCCGCAATGACACTGAAGGGTGGAATGAATGTGTCTTGCTCGGATTCGTTGGTGATGACCACGGGAACTTTGTATGGAGGAAGAGCCGGAAGAGTGATGAGACAACTGCTGACACACAGACCACCGGGCAGAGTGGAAGCAGGATGTTGTAGGAGAACACTCTGGCTGGACGATGGAGAGGTGACTTTTGCAAAACCCTCGATGACGATCGTGCGGCCAGCCGGAACACGCACTGGAGCCTTGCTTAGAAGTCGCACAACTCCTGTGTTGCCATTGTCCTTCTGCTGATGTGACAGCTGTAACGTTTTCAACATGGCTCTGTACCCATGGGCACTGGGCTGGAATGTCGGGTGTTCGCCAAGATACTGCTCGTACAGTGGTTCTAGAGTGTTCATTCCAATTAAAACTGTTGCTGAAACATCGGGGTGTGCGTCTGGAACAACTAAAGCCAGTGTAGATATTTCATATTCTTCAGCAACAAAGTCTCTGGGAAACTTGATAGAGATCTCAACATAGCCAAGATATGGGACTGTTTGACCAGCAGCACCTTCAACTTGCAGTAGATCATTGAGTGGTTGAATTGGTTGCTTCTGAAGGTGTGTATTGTAAAAGGACACAGGTATGGTGGTGACCTGTGATCCTGTGTCAAAGAGACATTGGTATGTGTGACCAGCAATGTCCACTTCTGCTGTGCATCTGGATCCGATAAGCCCATGAGGCAGCTTTGTGGTTGGCCCCGGATGGGTCTGTTGGTCTGCGCAGTGAACTGTCTTCTTGTACCTTGAGGGACAGTGTGGGTCCCGCGCAGTTCCTGTATGTCCCACTACAGGAACTGAATCTAGTTTAAATGTCCATTAGAAGCTGGATTGCGTTTCTGCCACTTTTGTTTCTTCTCACTGAATTGTTTCCGTTTTGCATCAACGAGTGCTGGGTTAGGTCTATTCTCGCACTGTGGCCTGATGTGTCCGTCCTCCCCACAACGAAAACAGAACCCAGGCTTTGGATTGGAGGGCGGTGCGTTCACACTTGGAGTTGTCCTTTGTCTCTGGTGAGGCTTTGGGACAGGAGCACTGGACCGGTGAGACTGCGAGGCCGTTAGAGCAGCCAATTGCTTTTGAATATCAGCCACTTGCTTTGTGAGAGCAGATAGGGTAGCAGCAACTCCTTTCTCCTCTTCTATGGCGAACTGAGCTTGAGCTGCAACTCTCTGTTTAGATGTTCCAAGATGTTGCTTCATTCTCAGAGTTTTGCTCGCTTCACGATCTTCTTCAGTTCTTAAAAGCAGCAACAGTTCAGCAAATGAAGGTGGGCTTGCTTTTCTCTGCTTTAGCTGGAGCTCAGATAAGAGGGTGTTATCCCAGCATCCCCGGCAGAACTGGCTGAGTAGGTGCCGGTTCACTTCACTTGGCTTCACTCCTCCCCGCTTGACAGCCAGACTCAGGGCTACTTGCAGTCTCTGTAAATAAGCAGACGGTTTCTCACCCGAATCTTGAAGCGTGTCCATGAACTTCACATAAAGCTCCTCTCCGTCCTGCACAGTTCCAAATGCTGAATCCAGATGTTGGATGTATGTCTCTGCAGGAAGGTCTGGGCTGAGGTGCTTTACAATGTCAGCCGCAGGTGGAAGAAGGCTGTCGAGAATGTGTCTGGATCTTTGTAGTTCAGAAATGGCTGGGTCCTTTAAGATGAGGTCCACACCAGAGCGCCATGTATCATAGTCCACCTCATGCTGTGGGCGTGGTGTTCTCCCCGAAAACATATGCAACCTGTGAGATGAACGCATGTTAATGTCATCACTCTTCACTATGTGTTCCACAACATACCTCTGTACTCCAGGTGGATTCAAATCAGAAGCAGATATGTTGATTGAATGTGGAGTACCAGCAGGATGTGTGCCAACTGCAGCAGAACCAGCAGCCAGATTGTGAGTTGGTGGAGCAGGAGTGGCATCCATTTTGTTTTGTGCTGGAATGGGAGCAGCCATTTTGTTTTCCAGTGGCATGACAGGTTCCTCCTTGGGGCTCTCAATTTTACCAGGGCGGAGTTCTGTAGCAGCTTCATTTATTTGGGACATCAGTTCTTGTAAAACTTCAGCAAAATCTTGACCAGACAGTTTTGCTACTTGTTTTAAGTCAGCTAAATAAGTCTTAGTCTTTGAGCAACCAACATTAGCCGAATAAACTTTAGACAAGTCTTGAACACAATATTCATTATCTTCAGGCTTAAATGTATATGGCAGAATTGGACCCAATAAATCAAAAGCTGACCCGGTTTTAAACTCAATGACCCACATGTTGTGGAAATCAGACTCCGGTGAGTTTATCGGTAGAGAACGCTCGATGGCACCGTACTGTAGGAGGAAATCTTCTATTTCATCTACATTATATTCTGGAACGCCACTGACCAAGACCGCGTTTGGTATTTTGATACCTAGTGACTCCAACAAGTCCATGTTTGAGAGTGGATTGGTGATACTGAATGAGTAAAATTGTATTTATACTGAACCACGACCTCCTGGCTAGCTCGCCACAAATTATGTAGCAAGTACATGTAGTAATGCTCGATAAGAAGAGTATGAGTTTATTAATTTTATAAAGTAATTGGATTGGACTAGATCAGAAAATGCTAAGGTTCGGCTCTGGGAGGTGCGTGTGGCAGTATAAAGACAACACAGACAAATATTTATGGTTTAGTGGCCAGTGCCTTATTATTAACAGTGGGAAAAAAAAGTGAATTCAAACAGTAGCCCCAAAATATTTACAATCTGCAGATATGACTTTGTTCAAGCTTGATTTGAAATTATTAGAGAAGCTTGAAGAGGAAAAGTGCACTTTGTTTTAACCATTCGTTCTGACCACAAATAAACAGTTCAGTTTACAGTTTCACAATAGCAACAGCAAAAGAAATGCAACAGTCCTAGTCCAGGAAAACACCTGGAGTACCTGTACTCCACCCAATCACCTCACTGGTGATAAATCACAGTCCGCCGTAGAGATTGGTAGATTGATTGATTGTCCATAGTTCATTCAGAATGTTCATTGGTATTATAATTGTCCATGGGCGCGCAAAACAGAGTTCATAAGCGGATTGCAAATGAGGGGAAAACAGAAAACAAAAAAAGAGTGGACTGGCTGCAGCAGCCCCTACCGAACCACAGGAGTGCTGTTGCTGTGTGAGGATGGTGTTCGAGGCTCCTTCTTGGGCTTAGCTCGCCATCGGGTGGTGGCACCAAGCAGGGCACACCTGGCCTGTGTTTAATTAAACAGGACCAACCATGAGTAAAATTATTTAACAATAGATCATTAATACTAGCTAGTTTGGTTATTTTGTTCTCAGTTCTCAGTGCATACACAATTAAATATCAACAGTAAATCATTACATTCAACCAGTAATAATAAACATACAATATACAACAAGCGTTGGCTTTAAAGTGCTTCGGCTGGCGATGCATAAACCAAAAAAAATACACAGTGTAACCATTCAGTCACCGTAACCTTAAATAGCTTGTAAATGCTTTAAACAAGAAGCAGAGTGGGCTACAAAAGCCGATAACACCGCTACATTAGCATAACAATGCTCCACCATTAAGTACAGGCATATGGGCGCAGCTAACAGTATGCTAATGCTAACGGCGTGTAGCAAAATGAAACTAGACCAAGCAGACTCACCAATTCCACTCCTAGACAGTCACACAGCGGGTACCCAGCATCAGCACGCGGTTGGTATCAAACTTCTAAAAGTGTACAACGCATAGCTGGAGTTAGAAGTGCACACGATATATTATTATGTGAGAAACAGCGTGTAAACGAGTCGCGTACCTGTTGCAGCCGTCCCTGCAGCCCATCTCCCCTTGCCTGTCTGCCAACCGAGCAGGACACACAATTGAAGAGGACTACAGGAACGCGATTGGCTAACAGGCTCGTAAGGTGCTCAGCGTGCGTGCGCACGTAACTACGTGACTCAAGGGTGCGTTTAAGGACACGGGAGAATGTAGGAAATAAATATTTGTTACATTTATCCACCATAAGCGCATTTTCTATGTGGGTTACACTAAGTTTAAATAAACATGAATGCATTAGTTTTTCTTCGTTGTTTTTCACCAATCAAGGTTTGAAAGACGCTCTTTTAATTCTGTCATCATGTAGCATCTGCTTCTGCAGCGGTTTGATGGCACTGGACTGGATATTTTGCACCACTAATTGTTTACTCCAATGTACCCAACTCCTACCCAACCAACATTTGTTTGTGGGGACCATGTTGGTAGTTAATGGGCTTAAAATGGGCCCTAAATGGGATTGTCCATGGGGTCCATATTGGCTCCAAACCAATTGCCTGCATGGGTAGGTTTACCAAAGTGGGCTCCAGAGATACCCATTTAAGGCCCATACCCACTTGGTACTCAGGAAGTCCTAGCATAACACATGTGGGGCCAACTTGGGTAAATCCACCCATGTGGGCAACTGGCATGGGGCCAATATGGAACCCAAGGGCAATCCGATAGTGCCCATTGTTCAGTCCATTTACTACCCACATGGGCGTCACATAATGTTGGCTGGGTAATATTTGCATAACGGAAGTGAATTTACAGGCATATTAATTCACATTTTATTGTGATAAATTTTCACTAGGAATTAGGCACTGGATGAAAGTGGGTGGCACCTTGGTGCAGTGGTTAGCATTTTTGTCTCACAGCAAGAGACTTCTTGCTGTGAGACAAAAATGCTAATGCTAAGGTTCTTCTTCTTGAACCTTGGGGTGAGGGACCCCTTGTGTGCAGATTTTGCATGTTTTCCCCGTGTCAGCATGGGTTTTCTCTGGTTACTCCAGCTTCCTCCCACAGTCCAAAGACATGCAGGTTAATTGGTGACTCTAAAATGGCCATAGGTGTGAATGTGAGTGTGAATGGCTGTCTGTCTCTATGTGTCAGCCCTGTGATAGTCTGGTGACCTGTCCAGGGTGTACCCTACTTCTCGCCCAATGTCAGCTGGGATAAGCTCCAGCCCCCCCGTGACCCCCAACATGATAGGTGGTTACGGAAAATGAATGAATGAATGAAAGTAGGCCGATTATAAGTGTCCAGAAAGTCATCGCTATGTGCACAATAGTCCAACAATCCATCACTTTGTCCATCACACATTTAAAAGATGGCCAACCGCTTGTTTTACTCGAGCAACTGACAACAGATGTCAAAGAACTAAAGCACTCTGTGGAGTTTAACAACTCACTCATCGAGGTGCTAAAGGCCGACAATGCGTCACTTCGGACCGAATTAAACAACCTCAAACATTTGACAGCCGAACTCCAAAAAGACAAAATCAACATGGCAAATTCCATTCTTGATCTGCAGTGCTGAAGTATGAGGGATAACATCTTTATACACGGACTTGCAGAAAAAAAAAACGAAACTCACCAGAAATCAGAAGAACTTCTTAGGTCATTCCTTGTCAACGACTTGAAAATGAAGCCTGAGGACGCCGGAGCTGTTCGCTTCTCCAGGGTGCATCGCCTCGGGAGGATCAAAACTGACCAACAGAGGAGACCCCGTCCCATTGTGGCTAAAGTCGTTGACTCAAAGATGAAGTCTGCCATCATGTCAAGGGGCAAAGAGCTAAAAGGCTCCAACTACTCCATCAGCGAGTGTATGTATATGTCCATGTTCTTAAGTGTGTGGAAGAGGATTTTAGAGGTGTGGAAGAGCAAAATCAGTTGTCACTTTCATCTCACAATTTTCATTTTAAGAAAGCCTGATAGGATCAAGGAAATTGCTTTCTAACCATTAAGGTACCATCACCCCATTGGTGCACAGATGAGAGAAACAGTTCGGTGTTGAACTGCAGACAGGGACAATTTCTTATGAGTTGTAATCATGAACAGTGGCTTTGTCAGGAAATTCTTAAAAGTGAAGTTCAATTTGCCCATCACGGGTCTCACTCCTACTCAGTGGCCTGGTAGTGACTGGCTACTGAGGAAGTAGCATTAATTTTGTTCGGTGTTAAATCCTTTTGAAGACTGGTCTCCTGTGATATTACATATAATGAGTTCAGGAGGAAAGAAGCATTGAGAGCAAAAAAAAAAGACAAAGAAAAAGAGAAGAAAGGGAGATGGAGGAAACAAGAGAAGAAAAGAGAAAGAGATCATTTTTGAGCTGTTACAAGTTCATTACATTATTCATTGCTTATCCCCCACCTTTTTGGGCTTTTATGGGTTTCCTTTCTCTTGTGATTATTCTTTCCCCTGTTTCCCCTCTGTTCTTTGTCTTATCAGCACCGTGCAGGTGTTCCATGGCACTCTGGGTAACTTAATTTGATTATCAAGTATTCAAATCCATGGTATTTTCTCTCTACTCTTTGCTTCTCTTCAAATCCCAGCAGGCCCCTTTTTTGTGGAACAATGCCATGACTGCTGGAGCTGGAGACCAGTAAAAAAAAAATCAATTCCCTCCACCATGGTCTATGGTTTAAGGTAGCTTTTATAACACGCTGTGGTTGATTTCTACAGGTTAGCCACTGTGAGTAGTGTTTTTCGTCAAAGCAGGTAGATGAGGAAAGTGAGAGCTTGAAGGGATCATGAAAAAATATCAAGGTCGCCTGTTTTGTACTCATGGAGCAATGGTATCATGTTCAGACTGTTCTGGAGAGGATGGATCACAGTATAATCAGACTGCAGTGGTAGGTCAGGTTATCAGTTTTGCCGACATTATTTTCAGGAAGCTGCAGTAGCGATTGCTTGGAGCAATTAACATATATTACGTCCATCGAAGAAATAATGCTGACTACACAGCTGTTATTTGTGTCAGCAACCCTGTCTCCTAGAAATTACTTCTGTATGTTACTAAACTGCTTCTTTAATCAGGTTGTTGTGGAAAGCATAATCACTGCCTGGATTATTTTCAGAGTTGTTTCTTTCAGGAAACAGACCGCTACATTCATGTGCCGCATCGGCTTTGTGAAGGGGTGGTTGGCCAGGGCGGTGGGCATACAATGTGGAGGGTCTTAACACTTGATCCCCCAGGTAAGCATTCAGACTCCTGTGTTAGCAACTTGGTTAATGATAGGGAGAGATTTTTATTTCACTTAAAGGAGAAGTCCGGTATTTTGCACTTTGATCCCCATTTCTGGGTTGTTTATGATGAAATAGAGTGGTAAAGACCAAAGTTTTGATGATTGCTCCTTTTTCGGAGAATGTGGCTTTCCCCTGCCTGGCTTAAAACTGCTGCTTATGGCCATGTGCAAACCTGTCCTAAAACCACCCTAAACGTTAGTTTTCAAAGCCATGAAACTCACCGAGTGGTCAGTGGTGTTCGTTGATATTTTGACATAAAAATCGTAGCAAACTGTGGTTTCCATCTGTGTTTTCGCTATTCATCTCGATTGTGGGACTATTTTTCCAGCTGCCTCACACCCGTGTGTAAACTTACACTTGATTGTTTGTTTGACCCTGGAGCGTTATACACTCCAGCCCACTTGATGGCAATAATGCTCCTTTACGTGGGTGTCGCCAACCGGCAGGAAACCATTGCAATGTAATGGGACACAGAAAAAAAGCAGAAGAAGAAGGTTGGCGTTGTGTTCAAAGGCATCGTACTGCGAAGGTTGTTTACAAGCAAGTAATCCATTGTGCAGTTGTTTAAACTTATTACAAAACTTTTTTGTTCATTCTCGTTCTTCCTCCAGGAGCGCACACAGCACTGTCAGGCCGGCACTTTCACTGAACTAAAAGACTACAGTGACTACAACCTTGTCGTAAACAACCCCCTTTCCGTTTCTGGTGGCAGATTACTAACAACGGACGATGAGGCTTCCTATAGAAAATCAATAGATTAGACAAAATGTCAAATAAATCATCACGGAAACCACAGTTTGCTACGATTTTTATGTCTGAACATCAATGAACATCACTGACCACGTGGTGAGTTTCATGACTTTGAAAACGAATGCTTAGGGTGGTTTTAGGACAGGTTCACACATGGCCATAGGCAGCACTGTTAAGCCCGGCAGGGGAAAGCCAAATTCTCCGAAAAGGAGCAATCGTCAAAATTTTGGTCTTAGCCACTCTATTTCATCATAAACAACCCAGAAATGGGTCTCAAAGTGCAAAATACCGCACTTCTCCTTTAAGTGTTAATAAAAAAAGGTAATAAAAAAAATGTTGTAGTCGTTATGAATGGATTATGTTTTGCAAGATTGCCTATTTTGGCTGAAGAGAAATAAAATACATTGTCACTGAACATTTTTTGTAATAACTAAAATACCTTATTAATGAATATTTTGCTGATTTGTTCAGTTTCAAGATGTGTGCGACTTGCTAAATACATTGATCAGCAACATTTCCTCATTGTGTTAATAGAAAGTGACACATTTGAAAGAAACACATTTGCTGTTTTAAATTTATTTAATATAAACTTAATTTCTTCGGTCAGACCACTAACAACAACCTGTGCAGCTCTGTTGCTTGATGCATTTTGTTGAAATTTTTCTGTCACAACTTTTCATGGCGTTAGCGAGGTAGCTACTTAGTTACGTAGCAAAATAACATTGTCATCATTAAACTTGCTTGCAATGCTCTGTTTGGTTGATTGTGGAGCAGCCACCAATTAGCAAAACACTGAACCTATTTGAATCACTAAATAAATCAGAGATACAGATATTCAGATGTCTCTGACCAGGTGGCAGTCACAGGTCTGACTCCTGTTACTGGCAGCATGTCTATCAAAACCCATGTGGCAGCATCCTGAGACCAGTCGGGGGTTAGGTCTAGGCAACAAAAAATGAACATATCTCAAACCTATCCTGCTTTTTCATATATTAAACTACACCATGATCTTTTCCTAACCTCAATGAAATACCA